CAATTTGAAAAGTTACATCAATAAATGCAATTCCCTAATGAGATCAAGAGATAAGCAGGAAAGAACTTCTTACCTATTCTGAAGAAGCAGAATGAAGGTAGCTTATTTTTTCGTGTATGGATAAAATATACAAAAAATAAATCCAACTTTTTTAATAACTTACCTCATTTTTGTGCAGTGTTTTAAGAAACAGGTGCATAATTTAGTAATTTCATAATCTGTTATTTCAGATATATAATATAGAAATGAGCAACATATCATTATCATGAATAATAAGACCAGTGAATTCAACATATTTAGACATTATTTTATCAAACACCAAATATGGGAAGAAAATCCCTAATTCTTATTAGAAATAAAAAATAAGCAGACCCTTCCACCGTTTCAAATAGGCAGTAGCAAAGACAGTGCTAGAATAGATGGAACACATCACAGAGTTGAAGACCTAACAAACAACTAGGTCTGTACACATTTTTGCAGAATATAGGAAAAAAGTGGACTCAGAGAAGGCCTAGAGTAATACTGAAAAAACCAAATTCTCACAGTAAATTCCATTGCTGGTGTTTGTCTTCTATTCATCACACTCAAAATAACAACAAATACCAATTAAACTATGTTGTGAGGAAATGTATCTGGCAAAGTGACCTGCTCAAGATCTTAGTGTGAGTGCCAAGAAAAGAACATGGCCCATAATCTTCTGCCTTATTTAGAAGAACAGCTTACATATCTCACCTTCTCCTGCCTTCTTTACACTGGAAGCTTCCTGCTGGCCTCAGTTTTCCTTTTGCCCTCTTCAAAGACATCCTTCTATATTCTACTTTTTGAAAAGTCTGGAATATCTTTGGAAAGGTGCACCAAATAATCCCTCTTCCTTGGTATTGATCAATTTAGCCGTTGTCCACCTGTTCCAGCCCTAATCAACAGTATAACTGGAACCACATAGTACCAAATCTATACCATCAGAAAAAGAAAGGAATCAGGAAAGTAATTTAATTAGGAATGTGATGGAAAGATTTAGATTAAAAAGTTATTTAAAACCTCTCAAAATTACTCTAATTTAAATCCTTGCATATATATAGGTATGTGGGTATACAGTCACTGGACTTGCAAGGCCATCATACTCGGTAATTTCCATACTTGCAACACTGGTCTTAAAAAAGCAAATATCTATTTCAAAAGCATTATTTCCAGAGGATAAAACGCAGAGCATCATAATATTAATCAACAATTTGTATCTACAGTGGAACTCCTTATAAAAACTGTTTTGCTTAGAAGTCAGCACATTTGATTATAAAAGAAAGGCCACATAATTATTTGGAATTTTTTCTTTTTGTGGTTTGGATGTTTGCTAGCAAACTGCTTAGTGGCTGTAAAATGACCCAACTGCTGACAACTTCAGCAATCTCTTCCCATTTAAAGAAATATAAACACATATGAAAAAAATATTAAGTGATTGGGTGGCTTTCAAGAATTCACTGTAGAATTTATCTGGTAACTATTTAACATTGGTATGTCTTCAACATACTGAAGCCATACAGTATAGAGAAAGCACTTATGAATATACAGGAGTGACTGATACCAGATACATTGCAGATTGCTAGCTAGAAGCAAAAAAATAGGAATGAATACAACCTTTTCCTCTTAGAATTTTAATTTCAAATGAGAATTCTTGGTTCTGATCATTTCTGTATGTGTAGTGAAGTCTTATTTCTTTTATATTCTTGTTCTTTAAATCAATTCAGAGATAAAAAATTATGTGTTATTTTTAAGCTGTATCACAATTTCATCTTTTTCTTGCTCACTTTTTAATTCACTTATTTGTTCAATGTAGCACATATTTACATTGTGACTCCAGAAATCTAAATAATGTCTAAGTGTCTAGACAATATTGTCATATAAAACAACCACCCAAGATAATGTGAATTAAAGTTTATTCCTACTCACTTTTCTGCAGAAGAAGAATCTGCAGATACACCTGGTTAAGTCAAACTGTCACTTCAGAACAACTGAAATATTTTGTTTCTTCTTGGATTATCTTTCTTGGCTAAGGAATAAACTGGAGATACTAATAGAATACAAACAGGGGGAAAAAAAAGAAAAAATTAGACTGTATAATTAAGAGTACAATGCATCAAATATAATGTTGAATTAAAAAACATAGAGGGACATCCAGATTAAACCGTATTTGTATGTTTTTTGTGAAAATTTGTTTAATTTCTAAAGAGTGAAATAATACTCATAACCTTGCCAACTTCTGTGCTACATAAACCTCTTTTAAAATAGTTTTAAATTGAGTCTGACTTCAAAGAGGACAATGAGAAAAATGTGGTCTTAGGGCTTCAAGGCAGGGCAGCATTTGTGATACCTGGAGTGCATATAATAGCGAACGTTACAGATTGGTGAGATAATAACAGTACCAAGATGATTACTTTTTGCATCCTTAAGGATGTGGAAAAGGTTTACAACAGGGATCCTGTCCATTCTTCATCTGAGATTTTTCCTGGGATCTGACTAAGTTAGCTGCTACCTATCTTCCCGGTATTCCTCTTTCCTTTGCTGTTTCCGATGACTGATTTGCTGAAGTGGATCATCAAAAATTATTTCCTTTTTGTCCCACTTTCTTCACTAGTATAAAATTGGTGAATCTTGACCAAGCGTAAAGCTTGGCTTTGTGGTCTTAAATGCTTGTGCTTCTCCCTTTACATCTGCTTAACTTGTTATCAGACCTCATAGGGATAAGTGGACACTTCATCTTCCTATATAAATTGACTTGAAATTCCTTGTTAATGCCTGAAGTTATGCAAATAAAGAAAAAATACCTTTAGTATAGTAACTTGGTAGTCAGTGTGTAACCATGTTATGGTAGACTGATACATTTTGGCCAGCTTAAATTTTGCAAAAACCTCTTTGTCATAAAATCAGGGGGATAATGGACAACTCCTGCTTGAACCAAATGCTCAATTAATTACTATATTTGTTTCAGGGCCTTTCAAAATCTCTCTCCCCAGATGCTTTTCACATCTCCCCTGTCTCAGTAAAACATTAATCTTTCACTTCTTGTCTCCAGTCCTTACATGCCTGTATTTTGTTTGCTTTCTTTCACTTCAGAATGATAAAGTAAAATTAACAAGATACAACCATGAGTTATGTAAGGAGAATATAATTACGTCTCTGAAATGGCTTTCAATCTAATTAAATTGGGCTATCTCAAAGATAATCCATTCGGTTCCTGTGAGGATGCACTCATTAGCATGTCTGCTGAGGGAAGTGCTTATAACCCCCCTTTGTAGGGGAGTTTAGTTGCTGTCTAGAGGCTCATTAGCATTGATATAGGACTTCCCCCCCCCCCCCCCAAAAAAAATATTTCTTTTATTTAGTTAACAAGACATTCTTTAAGCCATATAAATTTTGCCTTGTAATCATTCCCAGATCCTGAGATGTTATTTTGCAGCAGTTGTGGAGAACCACCTACTGGAAATAATGCTTCTTGCAGTGCAAGCCACGATTCCATCGTGCCTGTTGTATGTTTTCGAATTCTCTATCCCAAATGAAAAATAACTGACAAGTAGTGAGGAACCATTGCTAAAATAAACAAAAAGAAAAAAACTCACACTAGCAAGTTTACAGCCAATTCCAGAATAAGGGCAGAAAATAAGAGAAAAATCATCCTCCAAATGTCAAACAGGAATCAGAGTAATAATGCTGTAAGCTCATACTGTGTTAAGGAAAACACACAGTTATGACATATAAGGGAGTACACTAAAATACTCTATTGTTACTGAAACATACTACAGTCAATTTGATTTTTGTTTCCTTAACAAAGTATTAACTTTTTTATGTAAGTTTGTTTGGGTTTGGTTTTTTTTTCTGCAGAAAGCAATAGGAATGAGGGAGCTGTATTTTAATACGGCATAGCAAAAAAAAAAAAAAAAATTAGTTTTTCTTTAGCAAAATAAATTAGTGTAAGTCCTAATATGGGATGGGGACCAACTACATTTCCATGTTGTACCAGTAGAATGTATCCCTAGCAGAATCAGTTATGAGGCCTATGTGAATGCTAAATGCTTTTGCTTTAGAAACTCAGTGTAATGGAGATGCTGAAAATGATGGGCTTTTCTATTTTGACAAAGGACCATCTGCCCCAAATCGAAGTCATAGAAATGATACGAGGTTCACTGAAATAGAAATCCTGAGTGTGTTATCCAAGCCCAGTCCCCTGAAGGACTAACAGCTTCCTCCTGAGGGGAAAAGGAGGGCAGGCACTGATCTCTTCCCTGTGGTGACCAGTGACTGGAATGGCCTGAGGTTGCACCAGGGGAGGTTTAGGTTTGGAAAAGTGTTTTATCCAGAGGGTGGTTGAGCACAGGCTCCCCAGGGAAGTGGTCACAGCACCAGCCTGACAGAGTTCAAGAAGAGTTTGGACAACACTGTCAGGTCCATGGTGTGGCTCTTGGGGTGTCCTGTGCGGGACCAGGGTTGCTTCCTACTCAGCATATTCTGTGTTTCTAATAACAGCTTCGGTTACATACCAAGCACAGCACACAGGCTTTTATGTACAGCTATTGTTTTTTAATTAAAAACCCTCTATTTATTTTTTTCCCCCCAAAGGAAAGTATGAAGAACCTAGATGAGTGAACTCCGTGCCACAAATCAAGGAGCAAAACACGCCGAAGGCTGACAGGAACAGGGTAGTCGATACTGCTCCGAACGAGAGTAAGAGCTGATCCTTGTGCACCCTTAGGGTTTCGACGTGATTTTACTCGTCTTCCAATCAGGAAAAAGCATTGACAGAGTTCACCGCCGTTTTCGTATTTTATTTTGTAATAAAAAACACGCTCAGCAACTCCCCGCCGGCCGTACAACATCGCTGGGTGCACCCCAATCCGGTCACAGGGCGGAGCCGAGCCCTGAGTGGAAAACTACCACTCCCAGGGGGCATAGCCGCCGGCCCGGGGGTCGCCGCGCTTCCCGCACAATGCACGCTGGGAGTTGGAGTTTCTTCGCCCACCGCTCCTCTCCCGACCGCCCCGGCGGTTGCGCGGGGATCCTCGGGCGCCTCACTGTCTGGGTCAGGCGGGGCGCGCGCAGTGCGGAAGGGCCTGAGCGGACGGAGGTTACCAAATAACGGTGAGTGTGTGTCTGTCTGTCTGTCTGTCTGTCTGTCTGTGTCTGTATCCCTCCGCCAGGGACCGCCCCCCGCGCCGCCGGCGGAGTGGCGGCCAAGATGGCGGCGGTGGCTGAGGCAGGAGCGCCGTGAGCACCTT